TTCATCAATAATCATTAACTCTCCAACAATTTCACTATTAGTAATTAGCGCATTATTCCGCGAATTCGATAATGTATTTGTGTAGTTTTGAAACATAAAAAATGCCAAAATAAACCCCTAAAAACGTGTCGCCACCGAGCGAAAGTGTGGCCCACCGGCGGGCCACACGGTCGTCAAAGGGTTAAACATGGAAAAGGTAATGAGTGAATGAGGAGGTAGCAGCTGACTTAACAGCACATGCACGTACGCGTAAAATCGATACTTGTTACGGTGTTTGGGGAATTGAAGGCGGCAAATTTTTAGATCTTGCGATTAACTCACGCGGAGATTGCCCTCATTTGTTCGTCATGATCTTAAACAGCATGCATACCCAAGGGATTTGTGTCATTCACTAGGCCCGAAGATTTTTATTGTAGTTCCCTTACTAACTCATGCAGACTCCATGGTGGGGTTGAGACTTATTACTAAATATCAGTGAAAGGTCCATGGGTTATTTCAACATTCAATTTATTGGAGTTATTTCTTCCACGATCAGCATTTTTTTGTTTTCTTTTCAAGCTTCATAAGCGGGATCGGTACCCGATAGCGGTTAGCAGCTCTGAGATGTAAAAATGCCGAATAGGACGAGAACATCCATGCGTGGTTAGTCACGTCACCGCAAGAACTGGCCGCGATGAGCTAACAGCCAAACGGAACCAGCTGGATTGGCACAAAAAGCACGGTTGCTTCGTGCGGTCGATTACACCCTTAAACGCGCTATCCGTGATTTTTTTTTGCTATTTTCTCCGTCCAAGGAGGCTAATTCCTATTTCCTTGAGTTGAGGCCGGCTAAGGGATGAAGTGACGATCGTGCGCACAAAGACGAGTTTTTCCCTCACTGCCTGGTGGTCGTTCATCACTATGTAAATGAGATCGGCGTCGTTGAGATGAGTTTGTTGCATTTGAATCAGGACTGGTTACGTGACTATAGTGATAGCATGACATTACGATAGTAGTCGTACCGGAATTCTTTACGTTCCGAGGAGCTAGTCCAGTCTTTTATGCCAAGACACTTGCTCGGATAGTATAACAATGCGCGTTTTTTTACAGCGTTACAGTGTTCTTATCCTTTCGGACGCTTATGATACTTTTTATTTGCCTAAGCTGTGACCAGGAGTATACCTCAGCTCATACCAGTGATCATTATTTCTCTGAATGTGCTGACTAACAAAATTGGTCGGGTTTTTTTCCTCTTATGTGCTGTACAAGGGGGATCGACTTTTGAACTGTCTATAAGAAAGCAAGTGAGTGATCAAAGGAGAATCGCTTCAATCTTGGGTTAGGAATATTTAGTAGTTGATTTCGCCTGGCTTTTTTGTTGTTGTGCTGTTTCTTAGCAGGTTATTGGTGGGTTTTTCTCAAATGAGTCATCGTCTTCAGAAGCCTGAACATGTTTTAGGTGTTAAGATGGCGCTCTCCCCCGTCAAGCGTCTGATCAACAGGAGCGGTTCCGACATCAAGTCAAAAACCCTTCGAGAAGACCAGATTAGGCGTGAAGAATAAGCTCAACAACGGTTCCACCAAATGAGTGGAATCTTGGCAGCCGACACCAAATCCACACCCCAGCAAAAATGGTGGGTATTTTGCCAAGAGACACATGGCGACAGATGTCGCAGCTGGTTCAGTCACAGG